AAAAAAAAGGGGGCCCCCCCCCCCCCCCCCCCCCCCCCGACCCTAGGACTAACCTCATGGAACTCCGCCCGCGGAGGAAGAAGCACGCTCGTGGGGAACGCCTGCACCCTAGCCCCGTCCACGACCGCCGTGATCGACTCCACCTCCAGAGGCACCTGCAGAGGGTTGGAGAACCTCGCCACCACGCGACCCGTCTCGCCTGCCGCCCAGCGAGCTGGGAGCTCCGCCCCCGGTCTCCCTCCGCTGTCGCCTCCCCCCCCCTGGCCAGTCTGTGTCGCGCGCCCTTGATGGCGTTGGTGTGAATAATGCACACACACACACACACACACCAGGCAGGAACGAACACATGGTGAGGGAAGAGGTCGGAACAGTTTCAGTCACCGAAATTTCGAGTTCTTCTGGATCGGGGACCGCGAACGCAAAGAGAACCGTCGTCGTCGTCGTCGTATTTCGCTCGTTCTCTCTCTCTATCTCGCCAGAGAGGCAGGCAGCAGCAAGACACAAATCCGACAAAAACAAAAAGGGGATCGCGGCACAACACGTCATCACGGCGACACAAAACACAAAACACACAAAAAAAAACCATCCAGACGGGGCCACGACGCTCGAAACCATGGTGTGACACAACGCATGGTCACGACTACGCAATATCACGAACAAAAACACACAGACAGGGCAATGCGCTCGAAAGCGTGTGTGTACATAACACACCCATCACTTGAACACAACATCATCCGGACATCCGGACAGGGCAAAGACACATGCTTTTGTACACGACACATCATCACTTCGACACCCCCCCCCCTCCACGCGTCCCACCTCCCTCCTCTCCGTGGCTATCAATGTCCCCATCCCCGTTCTCCGACTCCTCGTCGTCGTCCATCCCCCCGACCGCCTCCTCGAAAGGGTTGTAGAACAACGCGCTGCTCGCCGCCGCCGCAGCAGCAGCAGCCGCTTGCGAGGCAGACGCCGCTTGGGACGCAGCGCCGTCCCCGGGGAGGAGGGCCAGGCCCCCGTGCAAGTGGAGGAGGCGTGCGGATTCCAGGCGAGGGATGCCCGAAAGCTTCGCGGAAATCAAGACACAGGGACAGATTTGTGGCAGGAGTCAAACAATAGGGAGGAGGGGGTAAGAGAGGAATGGGGCGGCGTCACTGGGGATTTTTTGTTTGTTTTGGTGCAAAACATTCACAGAAAGGTTGGCGCAGACTTCCGTTGCTGTCCTAAGGATGCCCGAAAGCTTCACAAGAGAGTACAGGTTTGTGGTTAGTGGCAATAATAGTGAAGGGGCGGCGGGGGGGGGAGCAGGATGGCGGGGATTTTTTCGTTTGCTCTTTGGGTGTAGGTGTTGGTGAAAAAAAACACAAAAAATGTCGGGCAGGTGTCGTTTTTGGGCCCGTAGAGAGTGAGAACACGTGCCATGCCAAGCGCTTGTGGTCTTGACTGAGAGTAACTTATAGCAAAACACCACACAAGGCACACATGAAGGCCGCCGCAACCGCCACCGCCGAGTGGCAGCTAAACCCTTCGAAGTTCACGCGAACAGCGTCAACGCCCCTCTACAAGAAAAGTCGCCATCGTGCCGGCACGTGTGCGATACGCTTCTTTTATACCGAGTACATCAGACTGAAGCCACTGGCGACCACCTCAGCATGACATTATATTTTTTGTACGCTCCTCTCTCACGCGCACATCTTGTCTAATACATCCGACTACTGTGACGTCCGACCACCTCACTATTTCTTTGTTTTGATTGTAGTTTCGATCGTCCCTCGCCCACACATCTTCTCTGATACATCCGACTGCTGCAAGCATCCGACCACCTCACTAACTTCTTTGTTTATACGCTCCTCCCTCACCTCCGCATCTTCTCTAAATAATACACCATCCGACTGCAGCGACGTCCGATCACCCCACCATTTGTTTTTACACGCTCCTCCCTTACCTGCACCCTCGCCGCATCCTCAGGAGACAGCCTCGACGTGCACAGAGCCATGTCCGACAAGGTCTCCCACTGCTCCTCGAGCGTCAACGCCGCCCGGTGAGCCACCGCACACACGGAGCCCCCCCCGCCGCCTCCGGCGGCCTCTATCGGCAGAAGCGGGGGCCCCGTCGCTGAGAAGGAGGCTTCTCTGCGGCCGAGTACGCCGCTGCTTCGGGAGGCTTGGATCTTGCGGCCGATGGACTGAGCCGCCGTTCGTGATCGTGGTGTTGAGAGAGACGCGAAGAGAGGCAAACTCAAGTCATCATTCGGCCTTGGTCTTGGCACGAGGTACCCCTTACATGGCACGTTGTTTTGGTATGTCACGGCTGCTGTGCGAGGTTTGAGGGGTTTCGATACGGCCGGAGACAGCCCGTCAGATGCCCACCAACTTTTGGCAATCATGTTGCTTCTGGTTCGTGTTCGAGGCTTCCCTAACCCTAACCCCAGCAACCCTAATCCTAACCCTAGCAACCCTAACCCTAACCCTGGCAACGCTAACCCTAACCCTAACCCTAGCAACCCTAACCCTAACCCTAACCCTGGCAACCCTAACCCTAACCCTAGCAACCCTAACCCTAACCCTGGCAACCCTAACCCTAACCCTAGCAACCCTAACCCTAACCCTGGCAACCCTAACCCTAACCCTAGCAACCCTAACCCTAACCCTGGCAACCCTAACCCTAACCCTGGCAACCCTAACCCTAACCCTAGCAACCCTAACCCTAACCCTACGGTGGGGATAGCCCGCCAGATGCTGAAAGGCTATTGGCTATTCGCGAATAGGTTGCTCGGTGTCGTTGTCGTTCGGACATTAGTTTCCACGGACTGGGTTGTAATTTTTGCCGTTCACTGCTCTACTGTAGGGGGCGAGGTAAGATGCGAGAAAAACACAGGACGAGAAACGAACTACTTTCGGCATGTCGTTTGTGCTCAGAATACCAAAAACAAAAACTATTGAGTACCAGGTACCGATAGCAACAACAGGAACAACACCAATGTAAACAACGACCCATCATGGGTCCGGAACGCCAAGCTGTGATTTTCTGCATATCCACCTACCTTCGGAAGCGAAATCTTGCGACTCTTCTTGGCCCCCGCTGCCGTCGCCGTTGCCGCCGCCGCTGCCGCCGCCGCTGCCGCCGACGAGGAGGAGGACGAAGCCGGCTGTAGGAAGTCGGAAGCGAGGGTCTCGAAGCGATGCTGGATCGGCGACGCCGGCATCGTCGGACCTGTTGAGATTTCGTTTGATATAATCATGGTGTTGGTTTCGAGTTGCGTGGTACCGCATACTGTTGGTGATACAGCGATTTTTTTCATGGTGTGTTGGTGTTGGTTTCAAT